TAGAAAGGCAACACAATATTGTCTTATTCTCTATCCCTTCCTTAATGAGTCCCAACTTTCTGTTAGCTGGTTTAACTGCCACAGTTATTAGTTCGGTATTTTATCTTTGAGTTCCTTCAGCGCTCTCGGGTGACTGCCTTGTGCTCCTGGTGACTTCCGTGACTCTGTAATACAAAGTTATTGTCCACAGAAACACAGAGGCTTGATCCAGGGCTCATTAAAGTAAATGCAAACCTCTCCGATGTCTATGGAGCCTGGTGCAGAGTAGGGATGTGACTGGTTAACCGATTAACATCACCCTTAACCGGTGATGTTTACCAGTTACAGTTAACCTACGGAGGCTGCAACAGCCCCCCAGCCGCAGCAGGCAGGGGTGTGCTTCAGCCCTGTGGGACCCACCACAGGCAGCCCCTATCCACAGTGGGCGTGGCCTGGGTGCACCATAGGATACGTTTAATCAGTTAACTCATTGAACAGGATTTGACATCCCTAGATCAGAGGCCCCACTTGGATAAGCCAGGGTATGTCTACACTACCCTCCTAGTTCGAACTAGCGGGGTAATGTAGGCATACCGCACTTGCAAATGAAGCCCGGGATTTGAATTTCCCGGGCTTCATTTGCATAAGCGGGGAGCCGCCATTTTTAAAACCCCGCTGGTTCGAACTACCTAGTTCGAGCCCCGTGTAGCCGCGCTGCACGGGGTTCGAACCAGCGGGGTTTTAAAAATGGCGGCTCCCCGCTTATGCAAATGAAGCCCGGGAAATTCAAATCCCGGGCTTCATTTGCAAGTGTGGTATGCCTACATTACCCTCCTAGTTCGAACTAGCGGGGTAATGTAGGCATACCGCACTTGCAAATGAAGCCCGGGATTTGAATTTCCCGGGCTTCATTTGCATAAGCGGGGAGCCGCCATTTTTAAAACCCCGCTGGTTCGAACCCCGTGCAGCGCGGCTACACGGGGCACGAACTAGGTAGTTCGAACTAGCGGGGTAGTGTAGACATACCCCCAGTGATCTAGCCATGAAGAGTGGGGAGTTTGGAAGGAACTTCCCCTGTGGTCAGGTCATTGGGCATTTCTTACATGTGGTATCGGCCACGCTTGGGGTTAGAGGGAACTCTTGTCTGATTTTGTCTAGCAATTCTGACCTTCCCAGCCTTGTTCTGACATGGCATAAGGGAGTCCCCACCGTGGTCCCTTTTCTTTTCTGTTTCTCCTCCACTTTGTGTCTCGCTTTCTTTCCTTTCTTTTTTCCTCATCTCACTCCCTAATGCTGATTCTTTTCTGTTCTCTGTGTGTGGGGCTGCTCCCCAGAGCAGACAGATTGCTTGGGACAGCGGTGCCCACTGGGGATCGAAAGGAGCCAGCTCATGGGTGCTCTTGCAGCTGAGCACAGCTGGGACAGCAGACTGCCGCATCCCTGCTCACATGAACTGCTCCTGAAACGAGCTGCATTAGGGGCTGACCTCGGAGCAGGGAGAAACGTGGGTGCCTGATGGGGAGCAGATCTGGACTCGTCCTCTCCTCTGGTGCTGCACTCACTTCCCAGCTTGGGAGGCACTGAACTAGACTGAAAATGCAAAATTATAGAGTGTACTAAATAATCCCTACCCGTCCTGGGCTGTGGCTTGCACCCATTTGCACATTCAGTCCCCTAACTGGAGGAGAGCAACTTTTCTGGGTGAGTCTTCCGCTGCTGATACTCATGATTCTATGTTCAACATTATCTTTCTGCTCCTTGGCATCCCTCACAAGAAACGTGTTTGCTCTTTGTCAGAAGCAAGTAGAGAAAGGTCGTTGAGCATAGCTGAGATTAATCCAGTGCAGCTTTTGATCTAACATCCCTGGAAAGATCTTTGGCCCGATTGCTATGCTTTGACGCTACGTCCCTGGAGTTCTGCAACCCTCTTAGCTGCTGCCTAGACTGGGAAAATAGATTGCACTTGAAAATCTGTTCATTAATGGGATTTTCAGCATGACAGTGCCCGTAGAGTTGGCGCAGTGCCACGCCCTGTACACCATGCGCGTTGGTGGTGGCTGACCCTAGAGCGTTCCTGGCCCAACTAAGCATGACTGGCAAGATTTGAAAGATGTTCCAGCATGCTGATGCTGGGGGCAAAGCTGAGCGCAAGCCAACGCATTTTCAAACATGCGTGTTGTCCTCATCTAGACCAGGAGCTGGTTACCTTGCCCTCCACAGCTGGGGGAAACGCGTCTGTTGAGCCCCAAGGACGTGCTGGGATGGCACAAGAGGGCTCTGATCCTGGTTGGGGCCGTGGGGCACCGAGGAAGACACAAAGCGCTGCTGATGGTATCTTTTCCCCTGCTGGCCCAAGTCTCTGGAATAATCATCCAGGCGCCGCAGAGTAGGGCTGGGAACTGGGCTGTTTAGGGGCATTCCAAAGGCCTTACAGCTCGGTAGAACCAAGGCTGGCGTCATGTTCTTGTCTTTACTTTGAGTCACTGTTTTTAACATGGAGACACGTGTGCACCCGTGTGTGTGTGTGTGTGTGTGTGTGTGTGCACGTGGGTGCCTGGAAGCTTATAGCTAGGGAGATGGCGTGAGAGAGGGGTGCACTAGGAGTAAGATCACTGCAACATTGGGAGGACGCAGAGTTCTCTCCCTCGGTTACCTTTTGGTGTTTCTATCCTTAGTGCTGCTCTCGTTCTGTCCACTTGCGTTTGGAAGCCGGGAAAGAAGCCCTGGGCCCGAATGGGCAGCCCGAGAAGAATGCAGACAGTCTGGCAGAGCGCAGGTTAAACTTGGATGAACTACAAGCCACTGGAGCATAGTGATGATGGAATTGCGAGCACCCGCGCAGGCTGCCAAATGGGACAGGTCTCCTGCCGCTCTTGTGGACTGGTATCTGCTGGGACAGCAGCTAGACGCCCGGGGCTGTCCCCTACCATCCAGCTCGGGCTAGGAGAGTTTGGGTTGTTCATTGCTGTGTGGACTCCCTGGCTCATGCTGAATTCCAGGCTGCAGGGCACCAGGAGGTGGGAAATGGAAGGGCTGGAGAAATTGCAAACTTTTCCCTTAGTCCTCGCTCTTCCTTGAACAGCCCCTTCCTGGCAGAGACAAGCGTCCCAGCGCTGGGGCGATCATACCCGCCTTCTCCATGCCGCGGAGCTGAGTCCTGCTCCTGCTAAAGTCAGAGGGAGCCTTGGCATGGACGGGCACATCCGGATTAGGATCGTGGCGGGTTCCACTCAGCATGGCTGATTTTGGCAGGAGAAGGAGCTCTGGAGCTGAGGGCTGGCTGGCTGCAGAGGCATTTTCTGTTACTTGGGAGAGCGCTGGAATGTCTTGGCGGCTAGGGACCCACACTTGATTTAGTAACATTTGCTGGCCAGCACGGGTGGTGTCAACGAAACTTTCCTGCACTGGCTGCACATGCCTCCTGGCTCCAACCTGGAATGACATTCTCGTGGCCACCGCCTTGGGATTTGCAGGTTGTTACCATATAAAGGGCACAGTCCTGACCCAGCAGGAGGGCCAGCGAGAAGTTTCTTTGGGGGGTACATAACTGTCCTTTTAATAGGCGTACAGCTTACATTTTTGGAGGAACATTGCAATCATTTCCCTGCTCTCCAGCGATGGAGGTGAGCAGAGCTAAGGGAGAGGGGATGGAAAGCCAGCAGTATATCTCACCTCCTGCCCTTGGACGATATAGCTTTAGTCTTATGAACCGACATTAGCAAAGATTTTCGGGTGTCTCCTTACAGCTCCTTCTTTTCCCGAGTGCCTCCCCTTGGCACTTTCCTTAGCCGCTCCTCATGCCCGAGGCTAGATTTTGGTACAAGTGACACCAAATCACTCACACAGGGTCCTGACTTGACTTTATCTCCTAGCAGTGGGACGGGACAAGGAGGGCTCTGGATGCTGGACCAGAGTCCCTCGCCAGACCATGCTGGCAATGGGATCAGGGAAGGGAGGGAAACCGACTACCCCGCATGCTACCCTAGCCTTGGGAGCGGTCTTCCTTTTCCAGTGACACATCCGGGAGGCCTGTGTTTGTCTTCAGCTGAGAGGATCTCAGTCTCTGAGCCGGGTTGATTCTGAAACCAAAAGCACTAAGGATGCTCTCAGCATTAAGGCCCCAGATTTGGAGCAAGAAGCCCCGGGCTCCACTGCCGTCTGTGCCATAGTTTGCCCTCAAACCAGTGTTAAGAGCTAGCGCAAAGCACAGGCTTCAAGGACTAATCTGATCTGTGGAGCACTGATCCCACCAGGGGCTGGTTAAAGGAGTAACTGTACTGATTTCATGGGAGTAACTCCTCCCCGGGGCACACAAGAGGGTCAGAATCTGGCCTTTGTGCACAGTGTCTCAATTTTCCCATCTGTAAAATGGGGGTAGCCATCTCTGCCTGCCTCAGGTGCGTGAGGAGGAGCAGCTAATTACTGTGAAGCGGCTGCAATGCCCTGTGACCGCTTGTGACAGTGCGTTGGGGGTCCCCTGTCTCCTGCACCCCGAAATGGCACAAACAGACCGCACCAGCCGGTGGAATAGAGGAAGTTTATTGCCTCTCCAGGATACAGCACAGCACAGATGTAATCTGGTCACAGAGCTGGGCTAGGATGCCTCAGGCCCCCTTGAGTTGGGGGGAGACTGGGCCCCTAAACTCCAGCTCCTCTCCCTAGGCTGTCTCCTCCATCCTCACAGACAGCCAGCCACCAACTCTCTCACTTCCAGCCCTGCCCCCCAGCCAGGGCAGCATTCCACCTTCCTTTGTTCCTCTCCATGGGGGGTGTCTGGTCACTGGTTTGCATAGTGACTCATCCTGTTTTGCTGGGTCATGGCCCCCACGACAGCCAGTGGGGGTTACCCCAGAGCCAGCAGCATAGAAACCAGCCAGGTACCCCCACTACGTCACACCGCTGCAGTGAAAGAGGCCGCATTTGCATTTGCATTTTATAACCCTTCCCCAGACGGGGAGGCTCAAGAGCTAATTCCCATCTTTCACCTCTCTCGCTTCCTCTCTCCCCTTGCCTGCCGGTAGATGGCTGGAAGTTCAGGTGGCTAACCTGACCTGCACCCAGCGCTGGGTCCAATACCTACGACTGCTGCAGGAATCCATATGGCCCGGGGGAGTCTTACCGGCGGTGCCTAAACCTGTTAGGACACAGGCGCAGAAGGAGGCAGCGGCACAGCAGGCCTTGCAAAGCTTGATGGGAATCCTTCCTGGTGAGTTGGCCTTGCGGTAAACACCCGAGAGCCCCGGGCTGTGGTAACCGGTTCACACGCTTGGGCTCTTTAGGGCTCAGGCGCTGAAATCCACCCCACCCCTTTGTTATGATGGAGAGCGGGAGTGACAGTAACTCCTGGAGCCACGGAGCGCCACAGGCCGGGAGCAGTGAGAGGCTGCTGGCAAACCAGTGGGAGTTTGTCATAAGTTGGGTGCCCACCCCCCCCGAGAACAGGGCAAAGTAGCGGCTGTGGATCTCTGCCCATGAACAGGTTGCATTGTCACCTCAGGGACCTGGTTTCAGGGCACGAGCGAGCCTCCTTGCGTGATGGTGGAGGCCTGGACTTGAAGCCATCCCTGCTTCGCTCGCCCCTCTCGTATGAAACCCTTTGGGAAGTGTTAACTCCCGCCTTCTGAACTTTGTGCCCTCTGGACACCCTTGTCCGGCAAGGCTCCATCCATGTCACGGCAAATTCACACCACTCCAGGAGGGAAATGGCCCACCAGTTGGGTCTGCACTAGCTCCCAGCGGACAGTCCTGTGAGATAATTCACAGTGCCACCTCAGCAAAGTCCAGCACCCGGCGGGAGACCGCCTGATATTTGGCGACTTCTGATGCAGGCCTCCTCATCTCCTCCTTGTCCTGGCCACGAGGTAGGCAGTGCTCTTCCTTCACCCGCTTCCTAGGGCGCTCATGTCCCCGCACAGCAAGCACGGGCTGTTCTGCTGAAGGCACCTCAGGTCTCTCAGAGGAGCTATAAAACAGAGTTCCTTTGGCTTATCCCTGGGCCACTGTTCCATTAACCCTGAAGTGCTGTCCAGCTGGTGTTCTTTTACATTCCCTCTGCGGTTCACCCCAGAGGTGGCTGCACTTCAGAAGTGGGTGAAGTAATCTATCTGTGGATAATTTGTAAAGTGCATTTGTAAAGTGCATTAAGATTCTTGCCCATCTGCTGTTTATTATAATTAGCTGGAGGTTTACATTCGGGTCTAGAGCTGGATTTTTAAGTCTGGGCTTTAAGATGTGTATTTTACCGGCATTTCTCCAGCTCAGTATCACTTTTGGGGACATTTAATCAGGTAAAAGAGCCTTTTTAATATCAACTGAGTGGAAATTCCTGAACAAGTGCAGTGTGTCCTGTATAGTAGTTAAAACACGGAGGTTTTTTTTAAAGATAAAACGTGTCTCTGATGTTACAGATTTAATTCTGGAAATCCTTGGAACAAGCAGATGTCAGTTGCGCTGGAACCTGGTGCTGGAATCACTACAACAACCCATCATAAACAGGTAGCCTCTACGATAGGGCCGCCTTAGCCTCCAAAAGCGATGGCCATTGCTAGGCCACAACTAAGCAGTGCGTTGTGTGGTGGACTGTGGAAAACCCCCTGGTTTGAAAGTTTCAGGTGATGGGGAAATTCTCTGCAACTAGTAAAGTCTCAGATCAAGGGGCCTCACTCTGAAAGCTCATCTCCTGAGACGTTGACTTGAGAGCACGGTCAGAAATAGTGATCTAACCATGCCATGAATTCGCTCAGCCGAGCTGCTGATTTCACTGGGACCAAGGGTGCGGCAGGAGACAAAGCCGGACCCAGTCCTGGGTTGCCCAGTTGTTTGGAAAGGCTTTACTATGATGTCTGCACCACAGGTGTGCACACACCCTCGCACACTAGCTCTCCTGGAGCCAGCGTGAGAACAAACAGTCGTGTGGCTGCGGGAGCACAGTCCGTGGCAGCAGAGGCACAGCTGAGCTAGCCAAGTACATGCCCACCCCTTTCAGGCCGGCGTGCTCTCTGCGTGACCCAGCTGTGCCTCTGCTGCCGGTGCTGCCATAGCTACGCCGTTCTACACTTTATAGCTCCATTGGAGGCACAGTCATCCCCATGGGCACAGCCAGACAGGGCAGTCCTGTTCCTGGTTTTCGTGGGCCTGCGGGGATGTGCTGCATACACAGACGGCAGGCCACTGAGCATTATGCATCTCTGAGCCACACAGACACCCAGCCGGTACTAATCCTTCTCCCTGGGACTGATTCTAACCTTCCAAACTTCTCAGCAGCAGCAGCAGACAAGCATTGTTTGGGGGAGGAGGGGAATCACCTGTCCACTGAAGTGTTTCTTTTTCAGTATGTGGGATTTTGCCCACACCCCATCCCGGGTCTCTGAGAGAATGTGAGCTCTAATGGCACACCCTGCTTGCATGCGTGCAGAGTCGCCTCTGGTAGCAGAGAGGTGGGACTCCCGTCTCCGTGCAGTGCTGAGCCTGTTTTCTCTTCTGTCTCTTTCAGGCACTTGGTTTATCGCCTCTCGGATGTCCTGCTGGAGTTTTTGATACTTAACAACTCGGGGGAGGACCCCAGAACAGCAGCTGTAGCTTCATCTGTCTCCAACAGCTTCCAGACCACAGGCACGTCCCCGGGTTAAGCAGTGCCGCGGTTGCCCACAGCACAGGAGAACGGGCAACAGAGAAAAGTGAAGAACTGCCAGGCATCCGGCGATTGGCATTCAGTGTTTTCTGGGCAGGCCTAGGAGTTTCTTAATCAACTCCCCAGCTGGTCTGATGTGAGGCTTCTTCCAGGCTTCTCCTAGTTGGCGGGGCGACTGACTGTACCCAGTGAGGGCAAGGGCAGATGTCTGTGTGTAACACAAGTGCCCGTTCCATAACTCACGTGCTGGAGAGCAAGGAGCTCATGGCGGGAAAGCGCCAGATCTCTCTTGGGGCAAGCGGGCTGCTAAGTGAGACCAGGCCAGCCACAAAACCCACTCGGAAGTAATGTCACGCCCTGCCCTCTTCCGTCTGCATTGCCCTCTCCCGGAGTGGTCAGGGTGGCATGTGGAAGGCTTCGGGCTCTGGCAATGATGTGCGGAGATGTGGCCCCAGGACGTGGTGTCACAAGAACGCCCATCGACTCCCACACCATCCAGGGCAACGAGAAGAAGGATCCAGCCTTTATTCCTCGGGAATGAATTCACCCCTTAGGACTCTGAGCCCCATGCAGCCTTCACCCAATGAGGAGCTGCCTGACCTTCTCAGATTCTGTGAGTGGTGATGTCCCCGTTTCACCTCCGTTCCTCCCAAGGATGAGATGGGGACATCCCCGGGGAGAGTTCCTGCCTCTGGTGCTGTCCTTCCTGTCTCCAGGCATGTTCCCCCTGGTCTCCTTCCTCTGCCCATCGCTCACTCTGCCCATTTGTCTGCCCAGCGTGAAGCAAGAGGGAAGAACTCTGCCTCCCCGAATGACGGAGTGGAACCTCCTCCATGGCCCCAAGTCGGCATCATGAGCAACCATCCACATTTCTGGGAACTTCAAAGCGCCGGGTGACTAGCAGAAGCCCATGCCCTCCTCAGCAGTAGGGGAAGCAGCCTCCCACCATCGCAACTCCAAGATCATCTTGGTTTGAGATTCCTTGCTGCCCAGGGTGAGGAGAGGAATCTGGGGTGAAACAGAAATGCAGAGCCCCCTCCCCCCACGTCATGTGCCCCTGCAGGGAAAATGGAAAATTATGGGGCAATGGCTCATCCACCCCATGTCATCGAGTAAGTGTGGGGGGAAGGGAGGGGAAGGTCCCTGGGTTACAATGGCCGGGCTCTATGGAGAAAAGGAACCAACCCATATGAGGCCCACGGGCAATACGCTAGTTGCTATCACCATACACTGCCTCTTGCTGCGAGTCCTTGGAGATGCCTCACCTCACCGTGCGATGATGCATGGGAGGTGATTAAAGGAGGCAGCGAGTACAGGGGCATGTCCTTCTGTGTCTGCAAAAGGAACTCACTCCACGGGCCCACTGTGGTGAATGGGAACTTGAATAATTCATGAAAACCTGCCCTCAGGTAATGTCAGAGTTCAAGGCAGGATGGTTGAATGCTCTGGATAGGTGAGAACCCTAGGACTGCAAATCTCCTCCACCCCTCCATCTCTGCCCTGGCTTGCCATGTGTCTGTGAGCAAGTCACTTTAACCTGTTTGTGCCTCAGTTTCCCTAGCTGTAAAAAGGGGTGTTATTAGTGTTGCTCTGTTGTTTGCACAGTGCTTTAGAAAGAGGGGATGTTATAGAAGCAACACAAGGTGATTATATATAATCTCCCATCACTGTATGATGCTCCGGGTGACGATCTCTACATACCAAAGGCTTATGGTGCCCAGCTGTTGAACTAACTTTACAAAGGTGAGCGGGGAGTATAGGCATCAGCAAAAGTATTGTCGTTTCCTTCAGCCCATGGGCCATGTTTCATCAGGTCACGAGCCGCAGTCTGGCTGGCATTGGACTTTGCCATCCAAGGGGACCCTGCCTCCTGTGAGTCTCTGCAGTCTAAAACAGTGAGTGGGAGAGAGTTGGCATGAGAGATGCCTGCAAGGTCCTGGCCATCATTTGCATTCTGCACAACACCCCAATGTGATTCCTTTGCATGTGCCACACTCAAGCCTCCAGGCACAAAAAGAGAAATGTATTAGCCGGCCACACTGGCCTGCTGTTCCCTAATCATTGTGCTGGACTCGGGTGCACAGGGTTTTCATTGGAGAGGACGTGTAGCCAGAGGGGTAGGCATCTGGCCACGAAGACACAGACCCTGCTCTTCCCAGAGGGAGACAGCCACCATGTGGGTATCAACTCTGGTGTGTGTTGCCTACAAGGATGTGAAAGGTAGAGATGCCAAGGATGGGGGCTATTTAGGATGGCCTGGGGGAGTCTACAAGCAAAGAGGGATCAGATGAAATTGAGCAAAGGGAAATTTTAGGCTGCCTGCGTGTGAAGCCTTCCTAACAGTGCCATGATCCGTTAGGGGAAGGACTAGCCTCCCAAGTGGAAAGGGATACAGGCCATTGGGTGAGTCATTTCAAGAGTGAATCTGAGCAAAGAATTGGAGAACATACTATAGAGGATAGTCCCTCCCTGGTGGCAGAACACGTGGTATGGAAGTCGGGACCCCGTAGGTCTTCCCAGCTTCACTTTCCTTTATTCATTCTTAGGGAACAGGTTGACCTTCAGCGTCCCACTTTGCTCCTTCCTCCTGACTCGCAGGCTTGCTGTTTTGCTCCCCTTGCCCAGTATTTGAGTTTACGGCATGCCCTGACCTGCCTCGCCCGAAAGAAGCCTAGGAGAGGCACGAAGAGACAAGGCCAGTCTCTGAAAGAACATTACCGAGCCCTGGCTGGTTTTCTTGGGCTGCTGCGTGGTCATGAGCTCGTGATTTTGGATGTCCCAACTTGTACCCAACGTCAACCGGAAATGCCAAAATAAAAAGGCTGCTTTGTGAGAAGGTGGGCGAGCCCCTCGCCTATAAATCAGACCGTGCAGTGTCACAGAGAAGGCGGGGGAGAGGGGTATTTTTGCAATCCTTAAAGCCACTTTTGTACGTTGGAGGAAATAGGATTGGGAAGCAGAGAGGCTGAGACTCGGGTTCAGATATCTTGCCTTGATCTCTGACATTATTTGAGGGCAGGTGTGGATGAATGAATCAGTTCCCATTCATCATACTGGGCTTGGGGAGTGAGTTCCTCTTGCAGACTCTGCAGGACATAGCCAGAGCCCTGGTGCTGCAGTGGGAGGCGTGTCAAGCGTACACGCTGCTGCTTGTGCTGTGCTGTGTTGTCCCTTTTGTCCACAGAGCTGAGAGAACTTTGCAGACTTCACTGCATGCTGCTCCGGAGCTCCCCTGCGTTATTTGCTCCTGGCTGACACGTGGTGGAATGAGGCACAGAGCGGTGATGTGACTTGCCCACATTCACAGGGGTAGAAGTAGGAAGAGAAAGCCTGTTGCTGGCTTACTCTGAAAGCCCCAGCTTGTCTGCTGCCATTGCCCAGCACACGTTGTCATAGGCGTGCGCAGCACATTTCATTAGGGTGTGCACCCAGGGAGGTTTTTTTTTAAGGTGAACATTTATTGAATACTCAGTCATAAAGGACATTATTTTATTCATCAAACAAACTAAAACTTAACTAAACTTTAATTTTTTTTTAAATTAACAACTAAGCTTTACATAAAAGAGCATATCATGTGATTACATTAAAACGCAAAGCCATTTTTTTTGAGACATTAGGTTGTGTCTGGGCACACCCCCTGCACATGCCTATGCGCATCGTATTAAGATCAAGCTTCTCTTAGGGTTTCTGTCCTTTGCACAGGCCACTTGGTCCGAGTTTGCAAATGAAAAGGGGAAAAAGTGCCGAGGAAAAAGTGTTCCGTGGGTTTGAGTTAACAATGTATCTCCTCTTATCCCTCACAGAAAATCCCTCTTTAGCAAGAATCCAGCTGCCTCCTCCTCGCTACACCACACTCCGCAAACTCATTTTACTGGCAGGAATTCAGGGGCTTGTCACAGCCTGTTAATAAGGGGGCATTTGCAGGAACAGGAGAACAGCAAGGAAATCTTCAATATTTTGGGATTCATAAGCAAAAGCTCCGCAGTTACCCATCCCTACCCAAGGTACAGAACAGAGCATGGCTCAGATGTGACAAGCCCTGTGCTACTTTTGTGGAGGAGCCTTAAGCACTGCGTGAGCTGTCATGTGGAAGAAACAAAAATAAATAGTGACCACCCCGTTTTGGGTGTGGCCAACTTTCCCATGGTCCCAGAAAGTTTGTTTACAGCTCCCAGTTCTGGTTCTCAGGGTTCTGGGCTGTTCTTTAGCTCCAGCTTAGCCCTAACTGTCTCCTAAGAGCCTAGTAAGCAGTGGAAGTGTTGGCGATGCTGCCAGACAATATTGACCTCCCTTGATCAGACAAATTCTCTGGTTCGGCACCAGTCAGGTCCCGAGGGAACTGGACTAGAGAGGTTCAGCTTGTACCACAAGAGAGACATTGTGCTCCAGCAGACAGGGCATGACCCTGCCGGACTGGAGGCTTCAGTTCTATTCCGAGATCGACAGCTCCCATATTTGGTGACTTTGGGCAAGTCATTTCACGTCTATGTGCTTCTTTCCACACCTGCCATTTGCAGCAGGGACTGTGTATATAGAGTACACAACAGGGCCCTGATCTTTGTTGGGGCTTCTAAACTCTACCACAGCCCAAATAATAACAACAACCCCCTATAACAGCGGCAGAATTGTAATGGTGCACCAACTCCCTATGTTTTCACTTGGGGACAAAACCAGACACCAATTCTGTGAGGACTTACTTGTGTATGATAATACTGTGCATAACAACACCTGTACATAGCAATGTAGACAAATAGTGTACCAAAATACCTGTGAAGTGTGCTCTTGTCATGTGTATATAATACTCTACCTAAAAATGCAAACATGCTTGTGGATTTTAAATGCATATTGAGCGGAACATATCCTTGCACACCAAGCACGGTGAAGAAAGAAGAGTATAAAACAGGGAGGATGACCAAAAACTGAGGAGAGACCAGAGAGTGGGTGAATAGCTTGTCCCAGAGCGTAGGTGGCAAATCCTGGCACAGAAGAGAAGTGAAAGTAACACTAAAGCTTTTGTCGCACAAATATTGCCCACGTTTCACCATTTTCACCAGTTTACATGCCTTTGTGTAGTGATGGTGATTGATAATTAAAAGCAAAAAGGAGGAGAGAGTTAGAAAAGAAAAATTCCAAGTAGGAATTAAAATATTAGGTTAAAAAATGGGAGAAATCGTATACAACTAAGCGCTTGGGTCATATATTATTGCAGATTAGCTTTGCCACAGAAAGATCCCATATGCTCTATGAAATCCATTACCTATGAGTAAGAGAACATTTGCACAGCACATGTGGCAGGGAGAGCTGCTGGAGCCAAGTTCCTTTCCATAATATCCACCCCAGGGAAGATTGGTCCATTTCCAGTGTCAACAGCTTGAGGATTAAGTACTTATCTCTCTGCAGAACACTGGATAATTAATACCAGATCCAATGGGGGGGGTGGGGGACTACACTCTACAGAACCTGCTTGGAACTATATCCATGGCTAAATGCTGATCCAGCGCACCCCCAGGACTATGCGCACAGGGGCCAAGTTTCCCAATGCACCAGATGTGCAGGCACAGCCTTGCTGGAGTAGACAAGTGATGTACCTGCTGCATCACTCTGTGCAGGGATAGTGTCAGAGCACTAGGGAAGTCACCACCTAGGGATGCAGAGCATGGCGGATGATGATTCATTCAAAGGCCTTTCCCTTCACCTGAGCACTGGAATAATGGTGCTCCGGTAGCTATATTCCTCTTATCTTATTGCCACCCCATTTTCCAGGCCCCGCTGGATATGTGAGTTCCTGTTTCCAGTGTGAACTTCGCCAGTACTGTTACATTTTAGTACAACTTCTCAAGGCACTCGACCACCTCTGGCGCTTGCTAACTCCATTCTGCAAGATTGGATCTCATCGATAAACCTCTGCCTACTGAACTGCCTACATCACTTTCTGCAGCCCTCCAGATGTTCTTTAGGGGTGTCTCATGATTATCCACCCTGCTTGACTAAAGAAAGTGGGTGAAAGCACAGCACAAGGGATGGGGATGGTGGCAGGCGATAGATAAGGAAGTTGTCTCTTTGAAAGCCAGGTAGAAATCTAATGTTGGCCCTAACTCTACGGTGAACAGCTCATTAAACAGAGTCGATTTGTATTCACTTGTATAACCCACTTCTGCTTCTACAATCAGTGGAAGGGCATAGGAAAGTGTTTTGCTGGCAGCAGTGCCATCTAGCAGATAGGGCAATAGATGGGGAGTCTCTTTCCAGCTGTGACCAGCTGTATGATATCACTTCATGTCACTCCGTTTCCCCTTTGAAGATTCCCGTACATGCTCTACTTAATGCAGTGTCGATAGTCCCATTGACTTTAATGGGACATCTGTCCATGCCTACGATAAGCTTTGTAGGCTGGGGAGTGGATTGTACAGCCTTGTAGGCAGGGACTGTTCCTTACTCTGTGTATCCAGCACTAGCACAAAGGGGTCCCCCTTCGCAGGCATACAGGTCAGTAAATAGTAGTGCAAATAATTTGTGGCCATCTCAGAGCATCCATCCTCCTTGCTTACGGTCTTTGTGGCCCGGGCTGCCCTGCACCTCAGGGGCCTTTACATCTTCCCCAAGGAACTTCTATTTTCAATTGTATTTAAAAATCTCCTTCCTTCCTTTAATCTTTTCATCCCCCTCGCTGAGCCACTCCAAAGGCTGCTCAGCATCCCTGTAGCAAATCCTCCCAGAATTCAGCACACTCCCTTCCTGTTCCCAGACCCCCTTTTTCCCCCCATGTCCTCACATGTGGGGCTCACTTGAGCGCCAGTCCCGAGGGTGGACAAAGGTGATGAGGATCAAAGACCATAAATCAGTCTTTTAAAATAATACCCACCAGTTCTCTGGAGTGCTGAGTCTGGCAGAAACTCATTAAGGACCTGTTTTCCCCTCCCACTCCTTTGCCATTGGAAATCAACCCAGCCAAACAAAACAGTCTGTCTTGATTGAAGACAGCTGAAGTGCATGTGCTTAGTGTGAAAAGCAAAAGCAAAGCCATTTGCTAAGGCCCCTTTTCCATGCCGGCCACTTCAGATGCATTTATTACACCAGGGGACAGAGCTTTTTAAATCCTGATGCTCTTTATTTCTGGGTTTTTAACCTGCCTCTTACCTCCCCCTCCTCTTCTGCTTCTACTTTTCTTTTTTGTCCTGTGAGAATGGCCTTTTTAATCCCCTTGTACTGCAGATTAAGACTGTTATAGACTCCCCAACCTGACATTTTCTCAGAGAGGCTCACAGCCAGAACTTTGTGAGCACTCTCTGTCTTTCTGCCCCTGCCTTTCTTCTCCGCACACTAAAACTCTATTACTGACCTTTCCCCGAAAAGTAAAGGACTAAAGCGTGTGATCACACGTAGGCAGAGGCCAGGCCTGGACAGATCTCAGGGTGAAGGAAATTAAGACCCAGATGGAAATTAACAAGTAAAAAGGGGAAGGAAAAAAGAGGGTGGGAATTAGATTGATCCAAAGTAGAACCCTGGGAGCTGGCCTCTGGTGTGCTAGAAAACTGAACCTCATTACAGAGAACCAACTCAAAAGCCGAGGCCTGAATGTATCAGTCCTGCAGGAATTCTTCAATTTTACGATGGCTCCCAATGCAACACTTGCTGAATTCCCCCATGAGGAATGTATCTGTGGTAGGTGGGGGAACAATAGACACTCAAACCAGGATCCTGATCCAACCTTCACAGCTATAGGGTGGGTCGCAGAACACATATACAGGCTTCTGTATAGATCCTAAGCATTTGTAGGGAAGGACTGACTTTAGCACAGTGATTTTGACTGGGGTCTTATAGCTGTTTTTAGAATGCACCTTCCTTTTTATTCTGGCTATCAAAACACTCTACAGAGGTGGGTGGATTTTTTAGCCCAGATTTACATGGAGATACAAATAAACAAAGTGGCCCTAGGTCTCACAATTCACCCCTGGCAGAACTGGGATTAATACCCAGGTCTCCCATCTCTGACCAGTAGGTATGCTGGCCCACGTGTGAGCTTTTCTGCAGATGCCCCCACATTTGCATAGCATGCTTCCTGATCTAGAATGTGTAGCCAAGGGCAACAGGAAGAAATTACTAAAAATAGGAGACGTGCTTCTTACCTACTACACTCAAGAACAAACTGAAGATCGAGATAGTAGTCATGAAGGAGGCTCCAGTAGTTAAAGAATAAGCCTGGGGCTGAAAGAAACAGGTTCCCTGCTCTGTCAAGGAATCATAGTAATGTAGATTTGGAAGAGACCTTGAATTTTCATCAATCCGGCCCCCTGCAGAGAAACAGGACCGAGGAAGCCTAAGACCGATGCTGATAGGTGTTTGGCCAACCTGTTCTTCAAAACCTCCACTGGCGGATTCCACAACCTCCCTGTGGAGCCTATTCCAGAGTTTAACTAGCCTTAGAGTTACCAACATTTTTGTTATTTCTCAATTTAACCTTCCTTGCTGCAGATAAAGTCCATTACCTCTTGTCCTGCCTTCCATGGAGAGCAATTGATCATTAGATTCTCTTGAATAGCCCTTCCCCTATTTAAAGTCCATTACCAGGTCACCTCTAAGTCTTTTCTCTCTACACTCTATGCCATTATCTTCATGAAAGTCAGGGAGGGGATATTGTCCTTTTTAATGTTCCACAGTAGGCTCTCTGGTGTCAAGGAATCTTCTCTACTGGCCAGGGCATGACACCTTCTGTTGGAGATCAGAATTTGAATACCTACGTCCATAGACTCCTAAGACTGGCAGGGACCTTGAGAAGTCATTGAGTCCAGTCCCCTGCCCTCACGGCAGGAACAAGCACTGTCTAGATCAGTGTTTCTTAAACTATGTTCTGCGGCTCACTGGTGTTCCATGAACAACTTCCAGGTCTTCTTTGTTTTTGTCTTTTTTTATCTGACAACAATTTTTTGGAAGAAAATTTTCATAGGTCTTCCGCATAAAAAAAATATTGTTTGGTGTTCCATAATCTCAAAAAGTTTAAGAAACACTAGTCTAGATCATCCCTGACAGGTGTCTGTCTATCCTGTTCTTAAATATCTCCAGTGGTGGAGATTCCACAGCCTCCCTAGGCAATTTATTCCAGTGTTTAACCAACCTGACAGGCAGGAAGTTTTTCCTAATGTCCAACCCAAACCTCCCTTGCTGCAATTTGAGCCCATTGCTTCTTGTCCTACCGTCAGGTGTGAAGGAGAATAATTTTTCTCCCTCCTCCTTGGAGCTTGACAACTGCCATCGTGTCCCTTCTCCGTCTTCTCTTTTCTAACTAAACAAGCCCAATTCTTTCAGCCTTCCCTCCTAGCTCATGTTTTCTAGACCTTTCATCATGTTTGTTGCTCTTCTCTGGACCTGCTCAAATTTCTCCACCTCTTTCCTGAAATGTAGTGCCTAGAACTGGACACACTACTCCAGTTGAGGCCTACTCAGCACAGAGTAGAGCAGAAGAATGCATTCTTGTGTCTTGCTCACAACACTCTTGTTAATACATCCCAGAAGGATGTTTGCTTTTTTTGCAGCAGCGTCACACTGTTGACTCATACGTAGCTTGTGGTCCACTATGACCCCTAAATCCCTTTCTGCAGACTCCTTCCTAGACAATCACTTTTATCAATACTAACACACAGATGAGCCGGGCTTATTCCAGCTGTGTATTTGTCAGTGTTCAGTTGAGGCATGGGGATCCTTGGCATACACTGGCACATATTCTGCCAACATCTTGGGCACTGTGGACCCATCTGCAGTCTTCTGGGACTGCCCCCATCCTTCAGGAGGTCTCAAAGATAACTGCTCGTATTCGGCTGCTCTCTTACACTTCCCAGATGGACAA